GGCGTGCCTGGGGGCAGGCACGGGCGGAAGGAAGGAGGCCTTGGGGAACTTTCCACATGGGGCATGTGTCTTTCAAACAGGGTCCCTCAGAGGAGGGAGGGTGGAAAGGAGGAGGGGTGCATGGTCTGGGGAATCTTGGGATCTGGGGCCTTGGGGATGGAACACGTCCTCCTTGAATGAAGAGCTCAGAGCCCGGACAGACCTCATAAACCCTACATGGCCCCCTGTTCTGTGCACATAAATTTCCAAGTGGCCTAGAAGGGTCCCTGTGGTCCCCTGGGCCTTCCACATAAAGCTTGCCCTTCAGCCATGCCCACAAGCACTATTCAGGTGAGCCCAGCCCTCCTGGCCAGTCCCCCCAAAAACACTTCATTTCTCTTAGTACTCCCTGGGCTGATTGCTCTGACACCTAGACGTCCAGTACAGCCCCAAGATTTCGATTCCACCAGAAATGCCTATTAACCTGGAGCGTAGCAATGAAGCCAGAGTGGCCGGTTCCAACTCAGGGGGTAGGGACAGTTAGCTCTGCTGTGTCCAGTGGACCTAGGGAGCACCTGGGATGCCTCCAAGATAGGACCCTCCCAGCACAAAGGTCACCAGGGCTGAGCAAGAGCCCTTGGTCGGCTGTGCGGCCATCCTCACAGGCAGAGGACCCGTTCCTGTGTGTCAGCTGCATGGGCGCTGGTGCAGCCTTCGGGGAGCATGTGTAGGACACAGGGGTGGGTGGCTCAGATGCTCAGAGCCTTGTTTTCCATACCAAGTGCGCGACCTCCACACCTGACGGTGGGGACAGCTTATCCTGCTGGGCCCCCAGACGTGCCTCATGGGGTTGGCCTCCAGCTCTCCTGGTTTGCTTGCGAGTGCCTGGGTTTTAGCACTTTGAGTCCCGCATTCTGGGAGCCCCAGCAAACCGGGACAGCTGATTGCCTAGGGGCAGGCCTGAGAGGTGGCCCACCCCCAAGGCTGAGACACTGAGGCTCTGAGCCACACAAGCCTGGGATGCCGAAGAGAGACAGGTGGCCAGGTGTAGCTGGGCTTTGGAGGTGTGAGATTCCCACAGTGCACCAGGGCGGTGGGCTGCAAAGTCAGAAAACAATGTCCCTCATTTACCTTAATGCGAGTACCCAGTGCACATTATAATTCACTTCCCAGAAGAGCGGAGGCCGGCTGTAGGGCCAGCGATGACGGGATCCCTCCGGAGGGATGGGGGGGGGGGGGAGGTGTGTGCATGTCCAGGTGAGGAGCACCTGCCTGCCTCGTGCCCTTGCCTGTGAGCAAAATAATACACACGTCCGCACGATGAAATTGACAGCTCTCTAGTATTCTTTCCCCAAAGTGCCAGCTGCCGATCGGATTGAATTAGATTTCACAGGGGTTTTTGCAATACATGGAATTCACCAGCAAATTACTCTTAAAGAGGGAAAATCAATCATTTGGAGCAGAGATAAGCTGAAGGCAAGGCAGCCTTGGATTGATCCCGTCTGTGCAGGCGTGTGTGGAATTCAGCAGATAACCTGGGGAGAGGAGGAGGAGAAGAGGAGGGAGAGGAGGAGGGAGGGGGAAACACGCGGGGTGAAGGAGGAGGAAGGAGAAGAGAAAAGGAGAACTGGAAAGGAGAAAGGTGGGGGGGGGGTGGAGAGCCAGGAGAAGAGGGCTAGAAGAGAGGAGAGCAAAGGAGGAAATGGTGAAGGAAGAGGAAGGAGGGGCAGAGAAGGCAAGAGCAGAGGAGAAAGTGGAGAGAGGCCTTCAGCGGCAGCAGGAGTGAAAAGCAATCCAGGGAAGCACAACAGGCACGAACAGCCCTTAGAGAATCCTCCCGGCTTGCAGATCTGGAAACAGAAGCCCAGGGACAACGAATGGCCGAGCCAGGAAAAACGGTTCCTGTCCACACTGCTCAAGGACCCAATCCACAGAGGAGCTTGGGAGGGAGGGTCTGGGTGGGCTGACTGCCTGAAACTAGGGCAGTGCCCTTCACCCGATGTGGCCTTGAGAGGCAGCCCGCTCCCAGGGCAGAGAAACTGAGGCTCTGGGCTGGACAAGCCTGGAATGCAGGAGAAAGAGAGAGGCAAGGCGGAGCTACCAAGCATGTGCCGTGGTCTTAGCTGGGGCCCTGTTCCTGGACAGGGTGTGGGGTGGGGGGACCGTGAGGAGACAGAGGGGGCTGCTGTACATAGGAATTGCAAGGAGGGGCCACCAGCATCCGTTCTCCCGGACTCTGAAACGGGAGGGTCCCAGGGATTGAGGCAGATGTAGGGGATGGAGGCCGTGGCCACCACAGGGCTCCTTCCCATTGCCCCCTGGCCTCCGACATCACCGTGGGCAGCCTGGTATGCTGGACACAGGACGGGCCAGAGGAGCATGGTACCCCCATTAGGTGTAGGGGACCGTCAGGAGAAGCAGTGACAGAAGGGGTGCCTAGATACCTGCCCTGCCAAGGTTCACATTGGCATGTCTGATTGGGGTTAATTAAGTGAAAGGCTGACAAAGGAGGGATAAAGAATCCATCTTTCAGTGGACTTTGATTTCCTGCCGCTCGATAGCTTGGATTAGACCCACAGAGCACAGGGGAGAAGGGAGACTTACATCCCAAGTATATGTGTGTGTGGGGAGCATCCACTCACCCCTGCACACATCCAAGCCTTTGTCCTTCTCCGCCTGCCCCTCTCATTCCTGTCTAATGTCTAGAATCAACCCTTTCCTAGGGCCACCTCCTCCCCTCCCCCACTCCCTTCCAGAACAAGAATAACCACCCTTACTTACTAAGCACTCGCTCCATCCTGGGCACTTTACCAGGGTTTTGCAGCTCACCCAACAAGAATGTTACCAGGTGGCCCTCATGCTTCCCATTTTGTGGATTAGGTACCTGAAGCTCAGAAGGGGTAAGATCTGTAGTACAAAGTCACACCACTGGAAAGGGCAATGCCTTGATCTGGAGTCAGATCCAGTCCCCTGGAGGCTGTGCTTTTACCACCCCGCCTCCCACTGAAGCTGAGGGCTCCCCACCCTGGAGTCACCGGCCACGGGGCTCTTCCCTGGCAGGTCTGAGTCCTGGACACGGCTCCCGTGAGCGTGGCACTAATGTCAGGGTGCATCCGGGCACCAGCCCCATTCCCAGCTTAGGCTCAGGGTGTCTCACCAGCCCACAGAGCTCCCTGGCTCTTCTCTGTCCTGCTTCACAACACTGCCCACCACCCCCAACATAAAGACCTTGGCTCGTGCTAGCCTACCCTGGCCCAGGTGACCCTGGACCTTCCTCTTTCGTGGAAAGGAATTAAGGTCCCTACTAGGGTGTAGGGTGGGGCACAGGGTAATTTGAGGTACCCATAGCATTAGGGGTACAAAGGAAAAAAAGCACATAAAGCTCCTTATAGGAGAGCCTCCTGTCTTGGGTAAGAAAACACAACTCATGTTGCCACCAAAACAAAACAGCACAAAGAGGTGGCGCTGCTGCTGAATCTTGTGGGTGTGCCTTATTCTGCCACTTCGCAGATGAACCAGCTAAGGCTCAGGAGTGAGAGTGAGTTGCCCAAGGTCACACAGCTAGAAAGTGACAGAGTCTCTTCCCCAATCTGAAGCTCACTCTACTGCATCCCATTCTTGGTCACTACACAGCTACTCCCCTGACCGACAGCAGAGAGAGAGGAGCCTCTCCAAAGGCGAACTGGCAGGGAGGTGCCCGAAGGGAGCAGAGGACCAAGCAAGGGCTGTGAAGGAGGCATCTGCGGGACTCACATGCAGGAGAGCAGTCTGGGGGCCGAGCCAGGCCTTCCTCCCTTTGGGGACCAGGTCGTCTGTGAGGGACGGGCCAGTGTCTAGAACCTGCAGGTGACGACCAAGGGAAGCCGTATTCAGGAGTCAGCCAAGCCACCCACGTGCAAGCCGGGGGCAGGGCCTGCCTGAATCTGCATCCTGGAGGAAGGAAAGGCCCCGCATGTGCAGCTGTTGCTAATGTAACCCCACCCTGGGCCCTCCCAGGGTCGTGAGCATTCTGGGAGCTGCTGCCCTAAGAGGGGCCCCGCGCCTTCTAAGCTTGCAGTGACTAGTCGGGAAAACACCGCTGGGCCACTTCGTGGAATCAGGTGACCCTTGGGACTGGATGTGGGTCCGCTGGCTGTGGGAGCTGCAAAGAGACTAGGAGCGGGGCGCTAGGAGGCAAGGCTTGCAAGGAGCGGGAGGTGGGGGGGGGCAAGGTTTGGGGGGAGCCGAAGTGGGGGGCAGCCCCTTCTGGCAGCGGCTGATAAGGAGGGCGGGACCCGAATGGCTTGCTGCCCTCCGCAGGAGGTTGGCAAGCCTTCAGTCACCGGGAGCAGAGCAGGGCTAGCTGCACGGGGTGGGGACGGCGGGGGGAGCGAGGAGTGATCTCCTGTGTCCTTCCCCCTTCCACTAAACAAATAGAGCCGAGCTGTTGCAGCCCCGCAGGCAGCCGCTGGCGCCCCAGCTAGGTGCGGGGAGAGCTCGGCTCGGGGACCCGCGGCTGCGGGCTATCAGCCTTCTCATCGCCTCTCCCAGCTGGAAGAGAATTTAATCCACCGGCCTCCTCTCCACACGCACTGGGTCTCCTTTTGATGTTCCTCTTTATCTCCCTTCCCAACAAAATTGCCCCTCGACAGCTCCAAGAGGGCCTCCTGCCGCCCTCCCAGCCCCGGTGAACAGCCCTCCTCCGTTGGGCCTGGCAGTGAGCGAGGGGCAGGCTCACACCCCTCCACCAGCCTGGGCTCCCTGACCTTGGCAGAGGAGCCTTCCCCTGGGCCTCCCTCCTGCCTCTCAGAGGCCCGCAGTTTCCCTCCCTCTGGGGCCAGTTCCTTGCTTGCATTGGGACCAACTTCTGCAGTGGGAGGGGGCTCTCCAGAGCTGGCTTGTTGAGACCTCATGCTGCCCGAGATAGAACAAACCCAAATTCAGATCCTTCTCTGGCAGCTCAGAGGCCTGAATAAGCTGCCTGCCCCGGCCTCGCTTTCCTTCTCCATAAAAGGGATGGACGGACGCTGACGTCCGTGAAGAATCTGGTTAGGTCGCCTGAACCACGCCGTTGGGGCTTGATACACAGAAGCTGTCTGTCTGGAGGGCTGCAGTTAAATAGTGAACTGGGTGAATGTGACACATGTGTCCCATCCCGAGGGGCTGACAGTCACAAGCCAAGAGTCCCAACAGGGCGTGGCTGCCTGGGCTGGTTCTGAATGGGGCAGGCTGAGTATTGGATGGCACTTAGCCAGGAGGTTGGCTTGGGCTCTCAGGACAGCCATATATGGGGTACTGACCACTGCGGCCACAGCCCTGCGTGAGCTTCCAGCTCCTCCCCGGCCGCAGGCTGAATCCACACTGAGCCCCAGCGCCTCCTCTGTGCTGCACGCTGGTCCTGCATCTGGCCCCCCCGCTCCAGCCCCCACCCTCACACCCTGTGAGGGACTTTCCCTCTCCAGCTGCCCATTCAGCACCGCTCTCTGGTCCATCTTCCCTGTTCTCAGAATCGCTCCCCGCCTTGCCTTGCTCCCTCTCTGGGGTTCTCAAACTCCTGGAGTATCAGCCAGATGCTGATGGGCCCTGCCCCTGGAGTTTCCCCGTGGGTAGATCTGGGCAGGGCCCAAAACATGCTTCAGACAAGGTTTTAGGTACTGCCGAGCCGCTGGTCCCTGTACCACACTCACAGAGCCACTGCTCTGCCCTGGAGGCCCCCACTCTTGGATGCACACTCGAACAAATAAGGTGGAGAGCATTGCAAGGTCCTGAGGTCTGATATCCCCCAGCCCACCCACAGCTGATTTGCTCGGTCTTGGGCGTGGCCTAGGCGTGGGGATACTTTAAAGATGCCCAGGTGATTTTAGGGATGGCCTGATGGAGCACTCCCTCTCCGCCTCTCCCCTGTTCGTCCCTGTGGATCCCTAGGAGTGCCACCAAGCCCCGGCCTGCCCCACTGCTGTCTCCTCAACCTTGGCTGTGCAGCGCGGCTCCCGGGGCCCCACCCCGAAGATTGTGACTTAGTAACTGTGGGCATCTGGGGGCCTGGTTTTTAGAGCTCTCCTGGCAGTGCGGAGGCATGGCCAAGTGAGGAGGCTGCCCCAGCGTGCGCTCCACTCACTGCCAAGTGCACCTTCCTCGTGTTAAACAGCATTCATCTGCTGCAGAGCTTAGAGGGGCTCCCCGTTGCTCACGAAGGCAGTGCCGGAGCCCTCCAGACACTGCCTGCCATGGGACTGTCCCCCAGCCTCCCGCTCTCCCCAGCAATCTTGCCAGCTTCCCTCCAGGCTCCCATTGTAAGTCAGCTCAGCCGTTCTGCCTCCTCTGGAATCCTTCACTCCTGTGCCACGCCTTTGCTTAGGCCAGTGGTTCTCAAAGGGTGGTCTCAGACCAGCAGCGGCCTGGCAGGCGGCCCCTGAAACCTGTCAGAAGTGGACCTTCACAGGCCCCGAAACCACCCAATCAGGCATCCCGGGGGGTGGGCAGCAGGGTGATTCGGAGACATGATAAGCACAGAGCTTGTGCCGCCTGGAGCCTCTCCTCTTCTAGCTCATTTTCCCTTCGTTCCTAAAGCCAGTTCGAAACTCCCCTTCTCAGGATGGCCTTCCCCGCTTGGCCTCATCTGCTGGCACCTGCTGGGACTCTAGCCCTGGGGTGCTCAGCGTTACCATCTCTGTTCACTCTGGGAACTCAGACTGCCCTAGAGCTGCTAATGGGGGACACCCTGACCCCACTTCCCTCGGCTTGGAGGGCACCCCGGCCTGGGAGCTGGGCCTGAGTTTTTATCCTCACTCTGCGTCCAACAACCTGTGCAACCTTGGGCGGCTCACTCAACCTCTCTGAACTCTCATTTCCTCTGGAGGGCTGCCCAGTCTCCAGTGTTCCTTCATCTCTGCCCTCTGGCCCGTGGGGAGAGGATGCACAGAGTGACGGGTGAGGAGAAGCTGCTGGGACCCAATAGCTTCCTGAGCCCTGTTCTGACAGGGGTTTACGCTGCCCGAGGCACGGTCTGTGGCCCAGGGGCTCCCACCAATCCACAGTAGCCACAGAGGGTTATTCTGTAGTCACTCTGAACAGTGTCTGGCAAAGAGTAGGTGTCTGTAAATGTGTGCTGTTATTAATATCAGCACCTATTTATACGGTTCTGGAACAGTCTCCGACACAGGTTTAAGTGAGAAGACCCCACCCAGAGCAACGGGAGTAGTGCGCTGCTGTTTTCCTCAGAGAGGGGGGCCTCGATACAGTAGTGCTCCTCAGATTTGCATGGGTTTGCTGGGGGGGAGAGCCGCAGATGGGAGATGATGGTTGCCTCTGGAGAAGGCTCTCCAGTGGCTGGGCCAGTGGGGAAAAGGAGACCGAAGTGTGCCCTTTACACTGTTTTTAAAAGTTTGTTTATTCTGAGGAGGGCAGAGGGGCATCCCAAGCAGGCCAGAGCCCAGGGCGGGGCTCAAACTCACGATTCACGGACAGTCGTGACCGGGGCCAAAATCAAGAGTCAGACGCTTAACCGACTGAGCACCCCAGGTGCCCCTACACGTTTGAACTGTGTGAAAATTGGTCACGTCGCCATGTATCATGGCTTAAATGTTTCCTGTGTTAGGAAAATTAAAACCTGACAGTGCTTGGGGTTGTTTTCAGGAGGGGTCTGGTCCAGGTTCCTGGGAGTAGGACATAGTGACACGGCTGATCTCCCCCAACCCACCTCCTTGGGGAGGACCAGGTGAGCTCAGGAGCCCTGGTCTCCCCTCACTGTTCACACCCTGGGACCTCTCTGCCTCAGCTTCCCTCTCCCTCTTCTGGGTGTGGGGCTGCACAGACCTCCCCCCACCCTGCACTCCCAGAGGCTATAGCCCAGCAGATACGAAGGGGGCTACTCCTCTGGGGCAGGGTGTGCTCCTGGGGTCCACTCGGCCCCTCTCCCTCACCCTGACCTCGGATCTCACCATCTTTTCTCTCTGGTTCCTTCCTCCTCTCCGTACCTTTCCGGCTTCTTCTCTGTCTCCGTACCTTTTGACTGACCGACTCCCACTGACAGAACTTGGTAAGTGAGCCTGGGAAGGGCAGGGGCTGGGGGAAGGGGGGGCATCATGGGGACGGGGCTTCAAAGAGGGTGCTGCTTCACCTGCTCAGGCGTAGCTCAGCCTGCCCCCACCTTCTTGGGCCCCCAGGTCCTATGGTGGAGGGAGAGGTGCTAGTGTCACCTGCTCAGAGCTGTCACACTCTGCCGCTTTTGGCTATTAGTGCCCTTTCGGGCATTTAATTGATCCCCTCCACCTGACGGCTGGATTCCACGCCAGGGAGAACTGAGGACTCCACAAACTGATGGGGCCATAGGAGCGTTGCCTGTCCAGTGGGTTGGAGTCACCTGGCGGGGGGCAGGGGCTCTGGATGCCCTGCTGCTTGTCTGCACCCCAAGACTGGCAGTGCTGCTTTGCCAATTTATAATTGCAAATAGAAAAAAACCCCAGAGACTGATGGGTACATATTACATGCTTTCGCTCCACAAATGTATTTGTGGGACAGGTCCAGGGCCGTAAGAATCTCATGAACTGTCAGGCTTCACTGACAGCATTCTTTCCAGCCTGGCCGCGCCCATTCCCCTCTGACCACAGAAAGACTTCCAGGTGGCCTGGCTGGCCCCCCTCCCAGCAGGAACAGGTTCTGGAAGGGATCCCTGCACAACCAGTTAGAGAGGCCTGCTTCCTTTGCCGTACAGAGCTGTACACAGAGGGGTGGGCTGGGCAATGCAGGGTGAGCAGTGAGGACATTTCCTCCTGGCGCTGACAGCCCAAGTCCGGAACCTACTGAACGTCTGAAATAAGGGTCAGGAAACGCTCTCCACTGGTTGGTTACAAAGCATGAGCCGTCTGCCTACATTGAAGGAGGCTTATTTGGGGGTAATTTCTCCCCATGGAGGTTGAATCCATTTCTGAGCAGGTCAGACTCTGGAGAGTCAGTAAGTCACATCTCCCACCTTCTCCACTGGCTCTTTTGATCTGGGGTCTTGGGTAGCATGAAGACCTCACCCACTTTGTGTCAGAATGAGCCAAGCCGTATCTGAGGGCTCTATGAGCCCAGGTCCTGTTAGAATGATCAGAAACGCCTGACTTAGAGTGAAGGACCCCCCCACACACACACACATACACACACACCTTGAAACTAAGAACTTCAACTGCTGGGCCACAGCAGAGCTTGTGAAGGACGTGGCGCTCTGAGCTACCTGGAATCCAGTGTGCTCCAGGCCACCACCAGCTGGCCCCAGTGTAGGGTACACCGGGGTTCACTCTGCATTCAGCTGTGTGGATGATCCCATCCCATGTGTGAGGAAGCCAGCGTTCTCCCTGATTGACACATTCCGGAGGGAGGAAGGGGAAGAAGTTGTGTTTTCCTGTCCCTCATGCCCTCTCCTGCCCAAGCTTACCGGGGACACTTCCTTGCTTCTCTCCCCTCCATTCCCTTCTGACCCTCATTCCTCTGTCTCTCTCTGGGTCCTGCAACTGCGGGACGTCCCCATTTGGGGTCACTGGGACTGAGGAAGGGAGCAGGAAATGAAATGAATCAATCCACCTGGAGGGGATACTTTAGGCATCCGAAGGGAAAACGAAGGCAAAAAGAACGGGTGGAGACTTCCAGAGGGCCCAGATAGGGACAGGGGGCAGGGTCACCCAGAGGAGGCCAGACCTCTTTTGGGTGTGGGGCAGGCAAGCCCCACCATGGGCACCACAGCCACCTCCCACAAAGCCCCTCTGCTCCTGACCTTGGCCTCCTGAGCCCCCTCTGACTGCTTTTTCTCCATTTTGCCCCAGGGCCTGAACAGCATGTTTGAGGTGTACCTGGTGGGGAACAACTCTCAGCACTTCATCATCTCCCCCACATCTGTCCAAGGGAAAGCGGACATTCGCATCCGGGTGGCCGTCCCCCTGGACTATGAGACCGTGGACCGCTACGACTTTGACGTAAGGCCCCCCACTTTTTCTTTGCTGGGTAGAAGCTATTGGGGGAGGGGATATCGTCCCCATAAACCTGCCCTTCCACCTGTCCCCATTCTTGCCCTATGGATCTGACTCTGAGAAGCCTGCTGAGACCCCCCCATTTTCAAGGAGCAGAAGGAAATGTCTGAAGATGGAGCACAATTTTACAAGGCATGGGCATAGCCTCAGAAGCCAATAAGGAGCCTCCCTGCGCCAGCCCCTGCCAGCCCAGCCCCCAGCAGAATCAGTAACCGCCCTGGCCCTCTGAACACTGCTGGGGGCACTGCATGGCAGCACACACCTGGGGTGGGCAGGGACTGAGACAGGACCCCTGGGTCAGGACCTGTAAAGACCCCAGGGGGACTTCCGGGGAAGAAGGCTCCGGGAGCATGTGAGAGCTTACCCAGGCCCCTGCTCTGCACACCCAGCTCTTTGCCAATGAGAGTGTGCCTGACCACGTGGGCTATGCCAAGGTGAAGATCACCCTCATCAATGAGAATGACAATCGGCCCATCTTCAGCCAGCCACTGTACAACGTCAGCTTGTACGAGAACGTCACCGTGGGGACCTCCGTGCTGACAGTCCTGGTGAGTCTCACTCTTCTATGGAACCGTCGAGCTCTGGGGAAAACCATGGGGAGGCAGCCAGAGGGATCTGCCCAAGAAACCTGGGCAGTCAGGGAAGGGGTGCCCCCCCGAGCCCTCTGAGGCTGTGGTGTTTGTGTATTAACGCATCTGGACTCCATGATGGGGCTCTCGTGGTCAGGGCAGCACTGTGGAAAAAGCACCAACCTGGGGGAGGATAGGATTAGGCTGAGGACACTAGTTTTCTGCCTTGTCCCTGAGAGGCACTGAGCCTGGGAGCCCAGGAGCCCTGGAAGTGCCCTCTAACGGAGACAGGGGCCAGTCGGCGCTGAGGAGAGCTACCCTCGCTCTCTGAACACAGGCTCTGGGGAAGAATGGGCTCCTCAAGGGTACCTGGCCATCCCCAGTTGCCCTTGGCTGGGACTTTGACAAGAGGCCTCCCAGTCTCCATGTGTATCAATCAGTATTCTTGATGGCAAGGGACACAAACCCTTGAGTGATTCAAGTAAAAAAGGATCAGTTCATGTAATTCAAAATGTAAGTGATTTCAGGTATGGCTGTATCCAGGCATTCATTTAGCAGGAATCTGCCTTTAGCACCAAGGTGCTGCTTTTTCACATGGGCAGAGAAGAATACCGCCACCCCCAGGCTTGCTTCTTAACCAATTTATCACCCATGGTGGGAAAACAGTCTTCTTTTTGAGTAGTTCCAGCAAAAGTCCCAGAGCCGATTCTCCTTGCTGGGCCATCCTGGAACCAATCATCATGATCCTGAAATACCAGAGATGGGCCACACACCTCCTAGTGGGGTCAGCAGTTGGGGCCGCTGCATCCAAGTTATATGGGCTGAAAATGGGACAGGGAATATGCCAGATGGGCTTCTGTTACCAGAGCAAGGAGGGTTGGTGGCTGAGCAGATCAAAGTGGCAGATGTATGGTACGCAAGCTCAGCTCTTACCCGCAGTAGATGCTCAATAAATGTGATGCAGTTCAGTTCACTGCTGCCCTTCCCTGCCTACTCTGAGGGCCTCAGGGGCCTCGCTTCCATTCCTTGTTCCATCCTTACTCCAAGCCAAGACCTTGCCTGCTGATCGTGGGCCCCCCCACTCCGAAGTGTGTTTACTCTACCGACAGATGGTGTGAAACTGTATTGAACCCCCAGGCCCTTCCCATCTGACAGTTATTAATATTTCAAACAGATGTTTAGCTTGGCGGGCCATCAGACATAAACAATAAGTCTGCCAGGGCTGCCTTCCTCCCTGCCTGCTTCCCCAGCCCGTGGCCCCGCTGGCTTTCACCAAGGTGCTCCTTGCAATCAGCCACCTGGTGCCCGAGGCCCCATGGGTCCTCTTGAAGCCAGAGAGGAAGTGCCAGAGGTTTTGGCCTTCCAGACCCAAAGAGAGCCTTCAGCACCCCCACCCCCAGTCATCTTCAGATATCCGGATGAAGGACCCCTAAGCAGCCTGTGCTTTAGGCCCCACCCCAACAGGCCTGGGTCCACATGGCAGAGAATTAAGGTGTCAGGCTTGAAGAGTGTCTAGGAACTCCTTCCTGGCATTCTTGCAGGGACGGAGGTCTCACTGTGCACTCAAAAGTTCCCACAGCCCTGGGGAAGGGTGCCGCACCGAGGGAGCAGGGGTGGGGTGTGAAGGGGCAGAAGGTCCACCTCTTGGCTGGTGGCCAGTTGCTGGTGTCAAGGGCAGTGTGTTAGGCCCAGTCTCCTCCAGGGCTACCACCAGAGAAGGGGTCCTCACCCTGGGTTTTCTCAAGTGCCAGAGCCATCCCTGGGCCTGAATGGACCCTAGCCCGGTGCCCACAAACCCTGTCTCCAGTTGCTTTCCTGAACATTCCACGGATGCATTCAGCCTCCTCTGAGTGCCTCTGCCCAGGGCTGGCTGCTCTGAGCAGCCTCCAGTGCCTGAGTGTGAGCCTTGCCCACCTCCTTCTCACCTCCCCACTGACCCCTCCCCCCAAGGTTGTGAAGCTGTGCCAATATGATACCCAGTGATAAGCTCTAGTCCCAGGGGGGTGTGCCTGCAGGAGCCCTGACCGCATGTGAGACTGTGTGGGCCCTGCTTTCATTGCCTTTGCTGTGTGTTAGTCTATCCATGTCACCTCTGAGAGCCTTCATTTCCTCATCTGCAGAATGGGCATGAGGCCTCCCAAGGCTGCCAAGAGGTGTGATTGTTAGATGTGAAAGGGTCCCCTGGGCAGCCCCGACCCACTATCCTCTCCTGGTCTCCCCCAGGGTGCTTCCGCAGCTCCTAGCAGGTAGCGAGTTTCATGGCCAACCCCAACCCCCACCCACCCAGGCCTGACCTGGCCTCCCGGACGCTGCCATTTCCTGGGGTCAGTCTGATCTTTCCACCTCCTTTGCTGCAGGAGGAGCTGAAGTTATAGCTGCCTGCTCAGGGACTGTGAAATTCCTTCTCCATGACCTTTTCTGGGATGTTATTAAAATGTTTCATGGGCAGTTGTGTCAGAAAAAAATTATGAAGAAAAGGAAAATGTTTTAATTTGCATTGAGGAAGGCTGGGGCAGAGCCTGCTGTGAGGGGCCTCCCCACCCCCGCCCGGGGAACTGGCTTCAGCTTCCAAGGCTTATCACCTGCCCTGGGGTAGCAGAGAGACAGCAATTTGACCTTGGGGAGGGGCAATTGGAAGGAGAGGGTCTGTCCCCTGAAGCCTGGTCTCTGGCCAGGGTGGAAGGGCTGGACCCTTGTGTCCCTCCGCTCCCTGGACCTCACTCAGCCTAGATTTTGAGGCCCTTCTAGCCCCCAGTTATAGCAAAGTGAGTTTCCACTGGCAGAGGGGAAAGTATGGGCACCCAGAGTGCAAAGGCTTGACCTTGAGCACCAACTCTGCTCCTGGCCGACTCCTCGGATGCCTAGGGCTGCTTCTCTTCTTGTACCTTATCTGTAAAATGAACAAGATGGACTGAGATCTGTCCATGGTCCCTTCCATGGCTGTCATGCCCAGAGGGAGGCAGGTGGCAGAGCTGACCTCCGAGGGCGGCTACCACTGCTAGGTTTGCTACTGCAGTAACATTGCAGCGGCAGTCACTGTTGAGCCCTAGCTGAAAACATGCACTTTACATGCACCGTCTCTAACCCGACTACACGCCGCTATTGTCATTTGACAGGTGAGAAACTGGAGGCTTAGGTTAGTAACTTATAACTTGCTCGAGGCCCCAGGTGCTAGTAAGTGATTGAGCTGAAGTTCACAAAAAGACAGCCTGGCCCCAAGCCACAGGCCCTTAACCAGTGGGCTGCCCGTCCAGATGGTTCTGTGTTGGACCACAGAGCCTGTCCTTTCAGTAATGTTCAGAGCTGAAGGTGAACAGAGGAGCCAGGGAGTGCCCTCTGTAAGACCCAGGAGGACAGGCCACGGGGTTGTTCCAGGCGTTGTGTCTCTGGGTGACCCTTGAGCCCTTCCAGAGCCTCTGGCACCATCAGGTGAATGTCAGTCTCCGTAGGTCCCGAGCTGCTCAAGGGTCAGAGCCCCGTGAGTTACTTTCACTGATGGGAAGACCCAATCAGGGAGACCGGAGCGATTAGCCCGGGGAGGCCGGAACGCCAGGGCAGCCTGGAGCAGTCTTCATTAGGAAAGGCTTCCTGGCAAGTAGGGAGGATGTCCATGCCAGCCAGAACCGGTCCTCCAAAGGGCAGCCATGCAGGGGAGGGGTGCAGGGGCACATGTACCCACATATGTTTGAGGGGTACACGTGAGGTACACTTGGGGGGGGTGTGGACGCACCACACAGGCATGCTCTTGTATCTGTACGCGCACATACGTCTGCAGCTATGTGTGCTCAGGGGCGTGTGTATAACACACGTTTGTGTTCAACATGTGTAAAGGCTCCTGTATCATGTTGGTGGCTTCCCGTCCTCTAGATGGTGTGGCTTGTTCGGTCTTGTATCCGCAAGCCACTCTGATTCCCGCCGTCCAATCCCACCCCCTGACCTGACAGCAAGAGTCGGTTGGGAAGGCTGTGGGCTGCCTTCCTGGGATTCTGCTGGGCTTGGGGCAGCCCTGTGGCCTGATCAGTTGGTACCTGGCACCTAGCAGGGTTTCCTGGACAGTAGGAAAGCAATCCTACCATTCATTCATGCAACAATATTTTTTGAATATCTAGTATTCTCCAGGCATGTGGTCCTGAGAATAGTAATGATGTGAGTCTTGCCCTCATGAAGTTCCTGGGAAAGCCTGATGTTCATTCTAAGAAATGAATCTTTAATTTTTACTTGCTGTGAGGGAGATCAGGGAACTATGAAAATCTATGACACCTGGCCTTCACTGAAGTCAGGGAAGGCTTCCCTAAGGAAATGGCAACTGAGGAGGCATTAGTAGGTGAGTGAGGGGAGGGAACCTATTGGACAAAGAGGGAACAGCGTGTGCAAAGGTCCTGTGTCTGAAATCTAGTGAGGAGAATGTGCTCTGTAGGGAGGTAGACTTCTATTCTTAGGACATGGACAGGACTCAGCTCTTTATCTTTTTCCTGAATTGTCACCCACCCCAACTATAACCATTGGGCTGCTGTTCTGATAGTGGAGAAGTCCTGTATCAAAGCCTCCCCATTCTCTTACATTCCTTCCTGGTGGCCCGTGGCAGGCATTTGGGAGACAGCTGACAGAGGTGGTACCTGGGATGTGCAATAGCCAGCCTGGCCTCCCACAATGGGACGCCCATGTCCCCAGATTTATCAGCTCCGTTTCCCTGGGCAGTGAAAGAGGGATGCTGAGAAGGAACCACAAGCAGGAAGGAGGTTACACCTGGGGCAGATCTTCCCACCTTCCAGGGCCTTCTGTCCCTGTTCTGGGGAGAAAGTGCATAGCAGGAATGGGCAGAAGATGGACAGTCCGACAAGATAGCATTCTTCACTAGGCATTGAAATCAAAGCAGGAAGGAGAGACGCATAAGAGCCCTGACTGGGTGGGTGTGGGGTCCCAGTACCAGCTCACAGTTCACTCGGCCCAGGGCCAGAGTGCTACCCCTCAGCTCCAAG